TTAGACCAAGGTTTACTGCTTTAGAATAATGACCATAATCCGTAAGGTAGAATAGAGATTCCATCACATGACAACTACACATTCAATTACGTGACTGGCACGTTAATGTCTGTTTAAAGGGAATACTAAGCCAAACTGATGTTTGACAATACTCCTCTTCTTTAATAAGACCACATCTGAGGAAGAAAAGGGGATGAGAGGGACGGGCAGGAGGACTGCAGGGAATGCACAAAGGGCAGGAAAAGAAGATGCACAAGGCAAAGAGGGAGGAGGGAAACTGAGGTAGGGGACTCTAGGAAAGGCTCACAGGGCTCCAAGCCAGCCCCAAGTCAGGAAAATTGTCTTGAGTTATTGACATAAGATATTAAATGAGCTCTGAAATACTGATAAGCAGGATAACCCCAGTTCTCTAACAGGGCCAACCTGACATTAATGACAAAACGTGCCAGAGCAGTCACATCTGTCATGTTTTCAAGTTTTGACAAGGCTTTCTGGCTAATGTGTTTCTGCAGTCACAACCGACGGGAAAGACACATCTCCACAAACCTCATCCCAAAGTCGGTGACCCAAATGACCTAATGTTGACAACTACAGAAGCAAGCTAGGCGTGGTGGTGCACACCTATAATCCCAGCACTCGAGAGGCTGAGGCAGGAGGATCATCATGAACTTGAGGCCAGCCTAGGCTACACAGTGAGTTCAGGGCCAGCCTGAACTACAGAAGGAGACCCTGTCTCAAACAAACAAACAAACAAAAAAGAATTACCGTAGCAAACAAAAACACTGGAGGAGCCCAGGATAAGGGGTTAAAATGGAGAAGACTGAGAAAACCGCCATGGGTCATTGGAGACACCAGGAAAATCAAATGGCAGAGAAAGGAATAAAGTTTCTCCAAAGACACAAACTGAAAGGTCCCAAGAGTTGGATGCAAGGGATGTGATGAAGCTACGATCCCAAGCTGGTCCTGTCCACCACTGAATTCAGAGCCTCAGAATTATGAGGGATGAGAAGATGGGCCTGGGAGGGGAGACCGCAAGAGCGGCGATTAGAGGTAAAGAGGGCAAAAATAACCCCAACACAGGCTCGTGAACCACACCAAAGACCAGCAACTCTGACCTTGGGGCTAAGACAAGCCACTCTGGCTTTACTACTCTGTTACTCAACGCATCAATATAGTCACTGTTTGTCTGTAAGTCCCCACAGTGCTCGCTAGCAGGATGTGTGTCCTGCCCGTTCTGTTAACCCTTCGGCACAGCTCCCGGTATTCCAGAACGGCTCAATCTGGTAGTGTAGGGTTTTCTTACTGACTAGCCCTACCCTCCGGGACTTCTACGAGACGCAGTTTTTGACAAGGATTCGCAGACAGGTTACTGGTAGGTCTGGTTCAATGGGTTTAGACCCAATCAGAACCTAGTAACGAGTAACTAACAAAGTGAGCAAGGAATTCACCCTCCAGGTCCACTAGCTCTCTGTTTCCCTTTTATGCCTGCAGTGAATTCTGTCTCCATGGAGATGGATATTTATTTGCCACAGTGGTCTCCTGCGTTAGGCCCTCGTCACCTAGAGTGGACCATCACTGTCTGTCATGCCCATCCGTACCTTCTCCACATCCCTCTTCAGGAGCCCTCCTCCTCCACGATGCGTGCACACTTTTTGAACAGAATTCTGCAGTCTTATTCTGAACCATTCTAACCTTCTGTTCCTGCACAAAGAAAGTACATCCATATACGCTGAGTTCAGTTGCACCTTGACTGCACACAAGTAAGTCTGGTTGGTTAGTTATTGCAAACCTCAAAACTGTGGGTACCTTTGCTCCAACTTCTACTCAGCTCTCTGTCCCCAAGCACCCCAACCACTCACCAACAAACCAACAAGCAACGGCTTTGGGTCCACTGTGTGGATCAGCCTTACAGAAAGAGTATGAGGCAGTGCTAGTGGTGGGACTTCAGATGTTCTCAGAAAGCTTCCACCCCAAACAAACAAACATTCACTTCTGCTGCTAAACTGTCAATTTCCCTAAAATTCTCCTATCAATTAATTTAGCTCAAATCCTAGGGTCCAAGGAAGCTTTCACTGAAGTATTTCCAGAATACGGGTCACTGCTAGACAACGGTTCCATAGGCAGAACCATCATGAGACTATCTACCAGTAAGATGACAGACAGCAAGCTGGGCACTGAGGAAAGAGGACGGGGAAATGAGAGCTGGGTGGGAAGGAGGGGAAGACACAGAAGAAGCAGCAGCACGCGGTGCACACGTGGAACAAAGTGGCCAAGGAGGCCAGGTCTTTAGGGCACTCAGGGACTGTGGTCTCGGGGACAAGCTGGCATGAGCTCCCTCCCAGCCTCGAGGGGACACAAACACGCAGTGACAATATCCTGTATTTAAAAAGGTTTTAGGGCTGGGGATTTAGCTCAGCGGCAAAAGCGCCTGCCTGGCAAGCGCAAGGTCGTGAGTTCGGTTCCCGGTACCGGAGAAAAACCAAAAAAAAAAAAAAAAAAAAAAAAGGTTTTAAAGTTCACAGAGCCTTCCAATAGCAGTTACCTCACGTGGCCCTAACGATGAAAACAGGCAGAACACATGCCTTGACTTAAGGTCAACGATTTTGAAGCTCAAGCGACTGAGGAACTGGTAAACGACAAAGCTAAGCCCCGCTGCAGCCTGCTTCTGTTTGCATAGTGCCATGCTTACGAGCTGGGATCTGAAATCCAAACCGTAAGACTGATTAGTTTTAGAATCTGCATCCCGGCCCCCACCCCAGCCTGTTTTTCCTCTGCAAAATGGGATGCTGTAGGAAGGGCCTGAAGAAGTGCACATGGGAGTTCAGTGCAGTGTCTGGAACACAGAACAGACAGCGGGTGTGGGCTATTGGTATCATTACTACTGCACCCTGGCAAGCAGCGGTCCCAACCCTGCCACCTCCTGGGGCGCCTCCCGAGCCCACTGCCATGCAGCCCTCACCCCAGACTACTAATCAGACTCTGCAAGTACATGGGGCAGACCCTTGTCTTTTTGTTTCTTCCTTTCCTATCCTTTTTGTCTTTTTTTTTGTAAACCTCTTAGGTAATTCTGATGCCAAGTGCACAACTATAAACAGATAATACAAAGCAGTTATTTCTCAAACTATAACATGCTTTGCAGTCACCTGATGATCTTGTTAAAGTGCAGGTTCTGATTCAGGAGGCCTGGGTTGGGAGCTGAGACTCTGAATGTCTAACAGGCTCCAGATGATGCTGACGCTGTTCATCTGCAGGCTGGCTTGGAACAGCAAGGATACAGATTATCATGAGATGGAGAGGGATAGGACAAAAGACAGGCTAGAGGAGACCAGAACACAACAAAACTCCCAAGGGCCTAATTCTTAGGCTGGCCCCATTAAATATTAAATGGCACAGTTAATAAAGAGTAATAAATGCAGTGTGAGGCAGGCAAAGCAGCTCCTGCCTTTAATCCCAGTACTCTGAAATGAAGGCTCAGCCTAGGCAATTTAACAAGAATCTGCCTCTAAATAAAAAAATGTCCAAAGGACTGGGGATGTAGTTCAGTGGAAAGGCATCAGATTCAATCTCCAGTACTGCAACCAAACAGACAGATAATAAAGGGAGTCCAGCACCTAGAAGACTCCTACGAAACGGTAACAGTTACTACTTCTCATACCCTCCTCCACCACAACAAAGTAGAATAGGAATGTTTTCTCCTGGTTCTGACCACCCTCTCTCCTCGACCCTCACCTTCCCATGAAACGTGCTCCCCCAACCAGCCTCTATTAACTTCCTGACTAAAGCCACCTCTTCCTTCAATGTAAAGGTCCTTCTCAAAAGACAGCGATTTCTTTTCTGCTTGGATTCCTTGGTTTACCTGTTCTATTTCACCAACCCAGATCCTCGTCTTCATCCACTCACTTCATAAGACCCAATACTGCCAGAGAGCTACGGGGTGGGGTGGGGGACACAACACATGGAGGCGCCATGGGCGCGGGTCTGCATGTAAAACCCTGCCAGGACACTGCGGGGAGAGGGTCACGGCTCCTCCCTCACTGACTCGGGTTTCACCTAGCTTCTTGTATTTTCTAATTTTTTCCTGAAAACTCTGGACTTTTCACCAGGAAAGAAACTGCTCCATCCTCTCTGGCTCCACCTAGGACAGCGGTTTGCAATCCTGGCTGCTTATGAGAATCACCTGGGACCCAGCCTTGCCCCACCCCGACCCCCACCCAATCAGACTGAACTGTCTGAGGCGGAGTTTCATAGTGGGTGGCCGGGGTCAAAAAACTCTGCCCTGGGGACCCGTATTATTCCTGGCTACAAACTAAGCAGAAAGAAACTACCTCTCCGCCATGACCGTATCATCCCTCCCAGGGCAGAGGGGCAGAACTGGGTTTCTCTCCTAAGCTCAGTTCTTTTGAGTGGAGGAGGTGAAGACAGTTCTTGAAGCAAGAGGAGGCCAAATCCAAAGGATGTAACATTTACAGCTCATTAACCTCGGCCTTGGAAGGCAGACCCCTTCTCTGGGTCTTCCCACAGGGTCTAGTGCACAGCAGCTGTCAGCTCCCTGGGGTCTCCATCACTCCCCAGCGAAGAACTGGAGAAAAATCACCTGCCATACTCCCCAGCCCCCATAAGCCCCAAGTCGCAGTCTTACCACGACAGTTTTCAACTTGCCAATTCAAAAACAAAACTGATTTTCCACACAGACAGTGACTTCAGGAGTTGATAAGGCAGCTACCAACGCAGAAAACTCAACCAAATAAAACAAAAGAAACTCTCTAAACTTCATATTCTACCTATGGATACTATGCTCCACCCAGGATGGGATTCCGCTGCACACACCAGGTTTCCTAGATCCAGAAAATGCAAACTAAGCTGGATAGAAAATTACAGCCAAACACTCTAAACAAACAGAAGACAGTTTTATAAAGAACTTAAGCCATTCAGGAAACAGCTGTAAAAACTTCAGTAAATCCTCAGCCACACAGTGAGCCCTGTGAATGAAGACACCATACCTGATTAGATCTGGCTCTGTACCCTCATTCTTGAAGGACGCCAGCAGCAGTCTCTCTCGAGTTACGAGATCATCCAGTAGGTTCTGTCTTCGATCTCCTTCCAGTTGTGTTCTGCAGGCACCATGTTAAGGTCCAGCGGTGGATGGACTGCCTCATCTGAGCCATTACACTACTAAATTAACTCCTGAGTCACTCTAATCTCTGCCATTCAGAGGACACCTCACCTTTTCAGAGGACTGTTCACCTTTTCAGAGGACTGTTCTCACCTTTTCCTGCTCTGACCTTCAACTTCACTGATCCTTCAGGTAAATGACCTTGATGGCACCACTGGAAAGGGACATATAAACACTGACGAAGGTCACTACATTAAGTTCTTTTACTGAAAAATATTAAATAATATTTTCCACCCAGTCAATAGAGCAATGTGGCTCAGCAACTCCTTAGGTTTTGAGTTATAGGTGTCAATATTCAGAGGTGTGTTCCTATACGTTAATACTCCTAAGGTACGGCTGGGGATGTGGCTCAGTGGTAGGGCACTTACCTAGCTTGTGCAAGGCCCTCAATGTGATCCTCAGCACTGACAAAACAAAAACAAACAAAAATCCCTAAGCTTGCCTTGTTTTAAAAAGTAGGGAAGAAGTTCTCTACATCATCCACCTTCTCCCACGTTGACACCTATTATCAGACCTAGACTATATATTTGTGATGTGCTACTTTATGCACCAATGTACTGTAAAAATTGTTACCATCAGCCAGTGATTTAAAATCTAAGCTGGGAGTGGTGGCGCACGCTTATAATCTCAGCACTCGGGAGGCTGAGGCAGTAGGATCTTTGTGAGTTCGAGGCCAGCCTGGGCTACAAAGTGAGCTCAAGGCCAGCCTGAACTACATAGTGAGACCCTATCTCAAAAAGATAGATAGATAGATAGATAGATAGATAGATAGATAGATAGATAGACAGATAGACAGATAGATAGAAAGATAGAAAATAAAATGTATTGCACGATCTTTAAGGAAAGTTACAAAGAAATAACAGTATTTTAATGCATTAGTCTAAAAAGTATGTTAGACTAGGAGCCCTAAGGGCAGAGTTTTAGTCCCATGCTGTCCACTGTCCACTGTCCACTGTCCACGACGTTGAACTGGCTACTTCACCTTTTGGGTTCTCAGTTTCTTTACATATAACACCAGATCATCCGTTAAGTCTTTTCCAGTCCAACTCGTAAGTGATGGTTAAAAAAAAAAAATCAGAACCTAAACTCAGGGGAATGTTTTGTTGTGGTGTTTTTTTGGTGCTGGGGACTGAACCCAGGCCTTGTGTGTGCTAAACACGTGCTCTACAGAGAGAGGGAGAAAAACTAAGACACACTTTTGAAAGGATAGATTTGATACTGCACAGAAAAGCAAGCCCCAAAGTGAGCTACCTCAACTTAATTTTTTCCAGTTTTTACCTTTGCATCAAAGGATCTTTGTTTTATTAGATCTCAAAGGCTAGTGTTTCAAAGAAGTTGTGGCCACAACTACCAACTCCTAGTAACAAAAGCAACGCATTATCAGAGCACTGCTTTGGGCTAACAGGTTTCTTTTTATTTGTTATTTATTTTTATTTTTTTTATTTTTTTGGTTTTTCTCCAGTACCGGGAACCGAACTCACAACCTTGCGCTTGCCAGGCAGGCGCTTTGCCACTGAGCTAAATCCCCAGCCCCAGGTTTCTTTTCAGAAGAGGTACATAAAACACTGCATTCAGGCCCAAAACCTTTGAGAAACTGGCAAAACCAAATAGTAACATCATCACTACCTGACTAGGAACACCACAGCCCAGGAGATGAACAATTTTTGTTGCTAAGTTTCTACAGAAAAGAGCTAGCTAGCTAGGAAAATGTAAACAGTCCCAGGCAAAAAAAATTTGAGTAACATACAGCCCTTAGAAAATCATGAATCCCCCAAACCAATGTAGCTGAGCTGTGTTCGCGGCTTTACATATAAAAATAAGAAGAAGAGTTCTCTCCCCATTCCAGACTGCCACACTGGCTTAAATTACTACCATTATTTTTTCCATTACCTGCTTGACCACAGTCACCATGTACATCTTGGAAACCATGAAACAACTACTGTAACTAAGAAACAGTGACCTTAAGTATTCCTCTGTACTAACAAAAGGGCCAAATATTAACCTTTTGGTCAATGCAGTATTAACAATACCATTTTTTAAGTTAATGGTAAATTATCAGTAAAGTGTAAGGCCCTTCTTCTATCCATAAGAAGCTTCTCAAAAATTAAAAACAAAAAACAGAATTATATAGGACAGCTGGATAGGTGACCCATGCCTATAATCCCATCATTCAGGAGGCTGAAGCAGGAGGGTCACAGCAAATTCGAGGCCAGTCTGGGCTACATAATGAGTGCAAGGCAACCTAGACTCTATAGAGACCCTGTCTCAAAAAATCAGAAAAACAAAAATTATATGGGGTGAAATGGAAATTTTAAATTGTGGAAATTATTAATTATATCCCAAAATGAGCTAGACTTGTCTCATGTGCTATCCCCTGGCAATGTCTGGTTTTGTTGGGATTTCAGTATCCAACCATCCAAGCAAACATACACTGGACAAAAATCCAGTATTAACAATTAAGCACAGATGTAAACGTTTAAAAATAAAATTTCAGAAATATTATTGGAAGAATACATAAGGTAACTTTTTAAGGATCTTGAAGGAAAAATCTTTTCAGACAAAATTAAAAATATAGAGATGGAGCTGGGTGTGGTAGCTTATGCCTGTAATTCCAGCACTCACGAGGCTGAAGCAAGAGGACTGCCACAAGTTTGAGGCTACTCTGGGCTACACAATGAATTCAAGTCCAGCCTGAACTACACAGAGAGACCCTACCTCAAAAAAAAAAAAAATCTAAAAACACCTGCAAAGTAAAACTATAAGAGACAAAAAGGCAAAGGACATTACAGAATATCAAAACAATTAACACTAATACTTCTAGTCAAAGGAAAGGTCATGTAGTCTCACATTAATAAATGAAATGCAAACTGAAACAAGTTACCCTTTCACATACCAGACTAGGAAACTGTGACAAGATAGTTTTGGAAAGGACCTGAGAACAAGGCACCCTCCTACATTCCTGGTGGGAATATAAACAGGTTATATCAATTGCCAGACTGCCTTCCATATACCTAACATTTTCAAAGGCACATTCATATATTTATATGGGGATTTCCAAGCAAAGATATTCAGTGCAGCATTATTTATCATAGCCAAATACTGGAAACATCCTTAATGTCCATCAATAAGGCACTATGCAATGGAATGTTTTACAGCCTAGAAAGCTGTTCCTTGCAAGTGTTCAGATGAATTATCCGATATAGAATAAACTCTGAAATAATTTTAATCCCAAAAATGGGGCAGGGGAGGGGGGACAGCAATAGCAACAAGGAATTAAATAATGAATAGTATGTCCCCACTATGTTAGAAAGAAAAAAACCAAACAGATAGATAGTCTGAAAGTATAGATACAAACAACAGCCTCTAAAGAAGGGGAACTAACCGGGCATCATGATGGCACAGGCCTATAATCCCAGCACTCGGGAGGCTGTGGCAGGAGGATCACTGAGAGTTTGAGGCCAGCCTGGGCTACAAAGTGAGCTCAAGGCCAGAATGAACTGCATAGCGAGACCCTGTCTCAGAAAGACATGAAAAAAGAAGGGGAACTAGAGATTCTAGGTGTGAGGGAGACTGAATACTGTTCCGTACTGTTTGACCAATATATCTGCCAGTTAATAAGTTTCAGGCCATAGGTATAGTACAAGCCCTTTATGATCAAAGGAACTGCGCATTTGCAGATACATTTTCATATCCTCAACATGTTTTGTGTCTAAGGAAGCCTGGGAAGAGCAGTGTCCACCACCAACACTGAACTATGAAGAACAAGATGAGGGGATGAGGATGTGCGAGAGGAGCCTTTAATGAAAATTAACAATAAGAAGTGTATAGGTAGAGTACTTTTTACAATAAAAACAATAAAGGTTAGGTTTCAAAATGTAGCAGATACTAGTTATAGACTTACACGAATGAATCAGTTAAAGATCACTTTCAAAGGCAGTAAAACTTGGTGATATTTTATAGGTTAGTCAGGGAAGAACAGAACCACAAACATTTGATGCTCCAAGAGGAGCTGGCAAGACTATGGCACACGTGCCACAGTGGGTTATTTGTATCACTGAAAGCGCTAAAAGGCTCACCATCACTGCCCTAAGCCAACATTTTTCTGACAGGAAATTAAGGAGCAGCGTAACTACGTTGCTGTGCCGGTGAACTGGGCCGGAGCCCAGCTTGCCTATCCCTCCCCGCATGACCGGGGCACAGCCACCGAACACCCGGGGCTGGTCCACCCTGGGGCTGCTAGCACCGCTCCTATCCCTTGGCACTTCCTGCTTAAGACTGTACCGTACCGATGCAGACTGAACATCCCTACCTGAAAATCCTAAATACCCCCCAACCTGAACTTCTGGAGCACTAACGTGTTGCTACAAGTGGCAAATTTCACATTGTGAAACATTTTTCACACACAGAATCATTCAAAGCATTGCATTAAATTATCTTCAAATTGTGTGTATATGAAATGTAAATAAATTTTGTGCTTAGACTAGGGTCCCATCCCCAAGATATTTCATTATGTATATGTAAATATTCCAAAATCTGAAAAGATTCTAAATCTGAAACACTTCTGATCAGAATCCTTTTTGATGAGGGACACTTAATATGGAACACTCTAATTCAGAATATTCCCAGAGACTCCCTTTTTTTTTTTCTGAGACAAGGTCTCACTATGCAGTTCAGGTTGGCTGGCCTTAAACCCTCAGCAATTCTCCTGCCTCAGCTTCCCGAGTGCTGGGATTACAGGCATGCACCACCACGTCTGGTGAGACTCCATTTAAATCTAAGAAAGCTATATAGTGAGGAACATTGCCCTTTAAAAAATATTTTATTTTAACATACTGGAAGGACAGGCTGGGCATGTTGGTACACAACTGTAATCCCAGCACTTGGCAGGCTGAGGCAGGAGGACTACGGCTAGTTCCATGCCAGCCTACAAAGTGAGTT